AGAGAGGACTGACTGAAGCTTGTACAAGCCTTTTAACAGGCTTTGAGGTAAGTAAAGAATATGTAAATAACATCACCGCATAGACAATAGAAGCCAGGCGGTCTTGTTGTAGGTTACTCTGGGCACGCTTGACGGTGTTCGGTCATTTACTGGCCGGACTGGAGAACTGCCTGGAGAGGCTGCTTTGTACTTCCGCCGCAAGGGCCGCCGTGTGCTCCTCCATTCGGAGGGAGCGTTCTGTGTTTCCATTGACCGTAATTACTCCTCGAGGGCCTGACATCCTGAGCTTAAGGTATGCGTAATGCGGTACCGCATTGATGCGGTTCACCCGAGCAGTGCGTGATAGCCACTGCGAAACGGGACTATGTCGAAGATTAACTCCTCGCTTCAGAAATTATCCGGAGATCCGAAGACCACTTCAAGTGTGACTGAGCCTGTACAGTTGGCCTCTACACCTGGTATTACGCCTTTAAAGGTCGTTTTGGTGGGCTTAATCCTCGAGGGATCTATGCCCATTTTCCGCACTGTATCCTGGTAAAGCAGGTTCAGGCTGCTGCCGCCGTCCATAAGAACTCTAGTGAGATGAAATCCGTCAATAATTGGGTCTAGAACCAATACGGCGAATCCGCCATGACGGGTGCTAGTGGGGTGGTCCCTTCGATCAAAGGTGATCGGGCAGGAGGACCATAGGTTGAACTTTGGGGCGACTGGCTCTATCGCGTATACGTCCCTTAACGCGCGCTTCCGCTCCCTCTTGGGGATGTGGGTTGCGTATATCATGTTCACCGTCCGCACTTGTGGGGGAAAACCCTTTTGTCAACTGTTGTTCGGCGGCCGGGGCTCCTCGTCGTCATCGCTATGCAGCCCCTTGTCGTCATTGTCGGCGCTTAACTTGCCTGCCTGCTTGAACACCCAACAATCCCTGTTAGTGTGATTGGCCAGCTTTTCGGGGGTGCCATGTATCTGGCATAAGCGGTCGAGTATTCGGTCCAAACTGGACGGGCCCCTAGGATTCCTTTTGAATGGCTTTTTTCGCTGACCGGATTTAGAGCCTCTGAATCCGGCATTAACTGCCGTATCATCTGCATTGTCGCCGTTAATGCGGCGCTTCTGCTTGTTGCGACGCGACCTGCCACTACTGTCCTTGGTGTCCGAATTACCAGGGTTCTTGGTTATATTGTTGCTACGAGCAAGCCAGCTGTCTTCTCCTGCGCAAAAGAGGGTCATGAGTGTCGTGAGTGCTGCCATAGATTTCGGCTTTTCCTGTCCAAGGTGCCGAGCCAGCCACTCGTCACGGATATTGTGCTTGAAGGCTGCTAGGGCCTCGGCGTCCGGACAGTCGACTATTTGATTTTTCTTTGTTAGGAACCGTGTCCAGAATTGCTTGGCTGATTCATCTGGCTGCTCAATTACGTGACTTAGGTCATCGGCGTCTGGGGTCGCACATAAGTGCCCTGGAAATTGTCGAGGAATGCGGCTTCCAGGTCCTCCCAACAACTGATTGATCCTGTTGGCAAGCTGTTAAGCCAATGCCGAGTTGGTCCTTTAAGCTTGAGTTGGAGGTATTTGATGGCGTGGAAATCATCGCCGCGGGCCATGTGGATATGAAGGAGATAATCCTCAGTCCATACCGCAGGATCTGTTGTGCCATCATATGATTCGATGTTTACAGGTTTGAAACCCTCGGAGATTTGATGATCCATTATTTCGTCTGTGAAGCAGAGTGGGTGTGCGGCGCCTCTGTACTGGGCTATATCATGACGTAGCTCCAGTGAGCCTTGTCTACTGTGTTCGGCCATGCCGAATTTGTGGCCGGCGTGACGGATGCCGTCTCGAGCCGTGGGGCGCCCACGCGATCCGTAGATCGATCTTGTTTGTCTAGCCTTGTCCTCCAACATATCTTGTAAGTCCGACGCATATTCCGTGCCTTGGTACGGGGTGCGGCTTGAGTGGAGGGCTGGGAGGCCTCTCTGTCGCGGCCACGAGGTGGCCGGTCGGCCGCATCAAGTGCTTCCTCCTCTAATTGGGGTAGCAACCTGCGCTTTGGGTAGCTCTTGGAGGGGCGTTCGAGTTTATGCTCTTCGGCCGCAAGGACTTCGGTCCATCTGTCGACTAGCAAATCTTGATCAGCTCTAAGTTGTTGCTGTTTTTTCTTGAGGCTTCTTGCCGTGGCCATAAGTCTGCGTTGAAAACGCTTTTGTTCGACGGGATCCTCTGGCACGACGAATTCGTCGTTGTCGAGACTTGCCTCATCTTCGGAGGGAGGTATATAATTATCGTCCTCGACCTCTCTGTCTGTCGCTCTCTCATGAGGGCTGATTTCTCCATCCTCCTGTGCTAAATCTTGCTGGAGGAGGTTTTCTTCGGCGCTTTCCGGAGTATTATTATCTCCCGTGCTGGAATCGCCGTGTTTGTTTTGGCGGGATTTTGAGCGGCGCCGCTGACGCCGGCGCTTAGGCTGTTTCTTGGAGGGGTCATCCTCCGCTGTTCCATCGCCATCTCCCTTTTTTGGGGTGTCCATCATGTATATGTCATATGACGAGGTGGCTTTCCAGGGCCTAGTAGGCGCTGGTTCTTCATCATCTCCTTCGTCGGCGTCCATACCGTCGATGTCTTCGGAGTCGAAGTCGAGCATGTCGGTTAAGTCGTTGACAGTGGCTACAAAGTGGGTGGTGGGTGGGCTTTGAATTTCTTCATCGTCCGAATCCCAACCCTGCTGGCCGTAGTTCGGCCAGGGCTCTCCTGATAAAGAGAGAGACTTCAGTGACTTCAGAATATCGCCAAAAGGCGAGTGCTGAAAGATGTCCGTGTCAGTGAACTCCATGATCGGCGCCCAATCGGATTCGATTGGCAGGGGCGCGGAGTGTTCGGAGTCCGGAGAGGAGTCCGGCTCCTTGGAGTCACGAGTCTCGCAGAGTACGGGGCTGGTGTTCGGCTCAATCGCCATTGGGATCGCAGCCCCCGAGGCGGCGTCCAACCGCCCATCCTCGATCGGCGCAGTTGGCTTTGAATCAAGGATCAGAGCCGATGCGGGTGCGGCCTCCAGGGCACTGTTCGGCGGCAAAGCTAGATCATGCTCGTCGGGACAGTGCGGTGCGCTCGGCAGTGGCTCGAATCCGTTGAAGATCAAGTCCCCGCGGATGTCAGCCGTGTAGTTTAAACTTCCGAATCTGACCTGACGGCCAGGGGCGTAGCTTTCGATCTGCTCCAGATGGCCAAGTGAATTATCCCGCAGTGCGAAGCCGCCGAAGACGAAGATCTGTCCGGAGAGGAAGGTCTCACCCTGGACTGCATCGCTGTTGAAGATCGTTGGAGCCATCGAGCCTGACGGCGACGACACAAAGGAACTCTCAATGAAAGCACCAATGTCGGTGTCAAAACCGGCGGATCTCGGGTAGGGGGTCCCGAACTGTGCGTCTAGGCCGGATGGTAACAGGGGGCAAGGGACACGAAGTTTTACCCAGGTTTGGGCCCTCTCGATGGAGGTAAAACCCTACGTCCTGCTTGATTAATATCGATGATATGGGTAGTACAAGAGTAGATCTACCACGAGATCAGAGAGGCTAAATCCTAGAAGCTAGCCTATGGTATGATTGTTGATGTGTATGTTGTCCTACGGACTAAAACCCTCCGGTTTATATAGACACCGGATAGGGTTAGGGTTACATAGAGTCGGTTACAATGGTAGGAGATCTGAATATCCGTATCGCCAAGCTTGCCTTCCACGCCAAGAAAAGTCCCTTCCGGACACGGGACGAAGTCTTCAATCTTGTATCTTCATAGTCCAGGAGTCCGGCTGAAGGTATAGTCCGGCCATCCGGACACCCCCTAATCCAGGACTCCCTCACATGCATTGGTAATTTTTCTCTTAATACTTGCATGCAATGATTAATGCACTTTGAAGTCTGAACATGTGATGGGGAACAACCAAATTGAGCCTTATAAAATGGAAAAACTAAAATTTTAAGATAAGCCCTATAAACCGAAAAAGAGGGAGTATTACTTTCATTGCAGGATCCCTATCTGCCGCTGACAGGCCTGACGCGCGCGATCGTGATCATCGACCCGATCACGATCGAGTTCCAGCTGAAAGCGAAGAGCAAGACGGACTCTAAAGAGGACGAGCTGCTGGCCTTCGGGATCCGCTCAGGCATCCTCTGCAACCGGTGCACGATCGAGATCGCCTACGCGCCGCTGACCCCCTCGGTCGAGGCGATCATCGTTGGTGTCTGGGTAATCAACGGGGTGTGGCCGGAGGGTCTCCGGGGCCGCGTCGTCGCCAGGGTCACCACCGTGAGGGAAGGAGAGTTGCTGCTGCTCGACTCCCGAGACGGGAAGATGCCGATCAGCCCTTCGACTGGTGCGATCGACCTCTCAAGGCGCGTCGTGTCGGTGGACCTCAAGGGGGAGGAGGAGCTGGTGGTCTCCGTGGTGGCCTCCTCTCATACTGGTGGAAAAGAAGACGATGATGATGGCGGTGCTGCTGTCGTTGCGCGAGCACGCCGAAGAGGGCCGGCATGAGCAATGCCACCTATGATCTTGGTTTCTGCAAGGTGGAGGTCACTGTTGCCGGGACCCTTGTTTCGAGCTTGGTGAATGAGCGACGCGCCGCCGCGAAACTCATAGAGGAAAAGCCATGAATGGATGTTCTTTGTTTCTTGCGGTGCTCCACCCAAGCAATCATGGGAATGGAGAGGTTTTTCTTTCTGTGTTTAGCCTTGTTTCAAAGCTGCTCTTGTCTGCTTAGTTTCTTCGGTTCTACTTTTCTGAAGTGTTTCTCTGTATAGCCATGCTATTTATTTTTACTTATCTTTGCTCGGTTGTAAGTAAACCTGTGTTGGCCTACTTTGGGCTGTTACCTGTTGGTACAAGAAGTAAAACCTGAAAGATGCAAGTGTTCCAGCAAAAACATAACACTTGCTAGCATGAAGAATTCTGCCTTGTGTTAGAGCAATTTAATCTAACTTTCCCAGGGAGTTAACCAGTGATAAATGTACATATCATTTCAGGTTTTGCGGTACAACATAATATCCTAGCATTGCATTGCGGGCTTCTACTTTCAGACAGTAAGATGAGGCAATACAAATGATAATCATGAACTTCTGAGGAACTGCCAAAGAGATTTGCACCGTCGGTGCAGCGAAGCATGAGATGCGACTCAAATGTCGCAGGTCTAGTTCCCCTCTATCGCCACCATCAAGTATTTGCATTTTCACCGGGCTGCATATCTTGCTCATGGCAATCCTAAAGACTATCACACAGGTTACAAGATACCTACATATGCACTGTCTGCCTCATCATAATCTTCTCTGCATAGGCTTCAGCAGGTCTTTGAGGGTTCCCGGACGCCTGGCGTCCTTGGCCTGCGGCTCCTCCATGCTGCAGCTGCAGCTACTCGTGTTGAGGTTTGCGCCGCAGACGAGGCACAGGCCCTTGCAGGTGCTGCTGCAGAAGACATCCAGCGTTATCTCCAGGTGGATGATGTCCCGAAGGTTCTTCGAGATGTCGATCTCCTTCTCCCCGGCCGGGAAATGCAGGCGGTCATCCCAGTCTATATCTTCATCATTCTCGTCCTCGCTGCCAGTTATCGAAGGGAATTTGGTTCTGTCTTCTTCGTATATGGTGCCGAGGTCGACCACGTCGGGTTCCTCCACCGGGTCTTCTGTCAGCAGGAGAGAGAAATTCGCGAATACGCCTTCGGCAGCTGGCTCAGCACACCTGCATAAGGAAGCATAATAATTAATAACAGGTTTCAGAACCAACAACAACACTGCTAAGTTGTATCCTTAAATCAGCCAAGTCGAAATTCAGGCCATAAATGGAACGCTACTTTTATCACGAGAAAAACTACGTTGCGGTTCTTTCAAAGAGTCAACAACGCCAGAATATAGTATCCCCCCTTAACAGCCAACAATGGATCTAATGACCAAAAAACAGCCTTGCTAATAGAACCAAAGTATGATGTAGCTACATCAGTTGTGGTATGAGATACTTATTCAACAAATCTTTCTTGCAATTACTAGAACCAAAGTATCTCCATGTTTCACAATTACTAGAACCTTTCTTTCAATTATCATCTCTGGCAAAAGCATCAGTACATGCCGCCATGTCAGCTCCAACTGAAAGATCAGTACATATGATGCCTTTGAGATAATAAAAAGGAAACAATACTCTACTAGAAACAGAGCAACTTTTCATGCTTGGATTATATCCATGATGCTGAGGTTCAAGGAGGAATGAAGGAAGACCGATATGATGCGAGTTTACCCATATAGTGAGATTGCACAAACTGCCCTCCCTGAGTCCTGGCATGCCAGATTAAACTTTGCCGAGCTAGCTAGCTGTAAAATGTGGCAGTTTGAAACTCTGTAGGATGTTTGTAGATGGGTAAGTGACATGGTTTCAGAAGTGCGGCGGCCGGGCAGATTAAGCACTCGCGCGCGCCGGTGCGCGGCAGTAACAACGGGGCGGTGCTAGCGATTTGGGCGGCGGATGATTAGTCATTGCTAAGCAGTTAGCACGCAGCTAGTGCTATGATGTAGAGTAGGATTCAGAATGGCAGCATCGATACTTTCTTTCACTTGGCTCTGAAATTTCTGTCCATGATGCATTGCAGACAGACATGCAGCAACAGCAGATAAGATGAGACGAGAAGCGGCGGCAGGAGGAGGTGGGTGCTGGATCGGGGGTGCTCACCGGTAGCAGCCGAGGGTGATGACGGTGCGCAGGATGCCGTCGAGCCGGAGCCTGCCGCGGCGCCGGGCGACGTCGACGGAGACGAGCACGGGCGTCGTCGCGGCCTCCCCGGCGCCGCGCCGCGGCTTGGAGGGGGGCATTATGCCCATGGCGGCGGCGCGCGCGCGGGAGTGCGGGGACGAGAGGTCGGCCAGGCCGAGACGCTCCAGGGTGGTGGCATACTCGACGTGCTGCGCCGCCGCGTCGCGCCGGTACACCACGGCCCCCTCCCACGGCGACGGCCCCTCCGCCTCCTCGTCGGCGTCGGCGAACCCCTCGAAGTCCTCCAGGTCGAGGGTGAGGAAGCCGTCGTCTTCCCCGCCGTCGTCCTCGGGGTCGACGGCGTGGCGGCGGCCACGGGTCCGCAGTCCGGGCGAGGATGTGAGGGGACGGAGCTGGAGGGGGCGGCTACGGAGTGGGGTGGCCGCCGTCGCCGGCGGGGCGCGGCGGGGGAGGAGGAGGGGCGGGCAGTGGCAGCGCACGGCGGCGGCGAGCGGATAATACACCATCTTCTCGTCTTCTTTCTCCCTTTCTCTAACGACTCTAAGGCTAAACTTACGGACATTTTCGACGGATTTTTTTATTACAGACTGAAGTGTAGCTTTACGGTTGGAGTATACCTGGCCATGGCCATGGGCAGCCAGGCCCGGCGACCCGGCCCAACGCTCCTCACGGGCCGGACCCGGACATGGGCCTAGATATTGAGCCTGAAACCGGGCCGGGCCTGAGCCCGTCATATTTGCGAGTTAACGTAGAGGGGGGCCACCGATGGAAATCAGGGGCAGGGACTGGTGTAGTCGTCTTCCGTGAAAATAATGCGTAGGAAGTTTCCGTAAGATCAACTCCACCCGGCCGACTTATTTTGTATGCGCGCATTTGTTTGATCGCGACGGACACAAAAGTTACCCAATGCGGTGACCTAAACGGACGCTCGCCCTTTTTTCATCCGCCCCACGACCCATTTCAGGCCCAAATTTGAACCGCGTTTGTGTCGGCGCGGATACGGGACGGACGTGCACGACACTTGCCCTTCTCCTCCCCTTGGCCCGCCTGTCAGTGACACAACGCCACCATTCCCCCCTCCCCCTCCCCCCACTTTCAAAAAAACCTCCCACCCCCGCGTGCGCCATGGACGACGACGTCGCCGACCTCGCCTCCCTCACCTCCGCCAGCCCCGTCTCCGAC